AAGAGAACAGTGATCTCGCCGTATCAGACTGGTTTCAGTAAAGGTTAGAGCAACGATTGACAATATTCTCTTTCTTGAAATCTTCAAAAAAATTTATTTCCATGTTTTTCGACATAGAAGATGCTATAAGGCATGGAGGTACAGCATTCTACGCAATCTTCATTTAAGTGATTTGCACAGCAATCTACCGATTTTCATTCAGAATTTTTTTGACGACTAGAACATTTCAAGTAAGGATCGGCTCTGCATTTTCAGATGTGCTCAAACAAGAGGATTGTTGTTCAAACTCAAGGTTGTGTGCTAAGCATTAAACACTTCAGCCTAAAAATTCCGGTTAAGAGAATTCCTATCTTTTTGAGAATATTACATGTTGATGATCTCTAGATAAGCTACCAAAGTATAGATATAAGGAGAAACAGCTGCAGATCGCTTTTAACTGTATCCAAAAATGGTCGAACGCAGAAGGATCTGTAGTTTGAAACGAAAACTGTTTGACCACTTTTGAAGTAAGCGTTATAATGTTCTAGCTAAATTTATTGTCCTTGGCAGCTAGAATACTTATGAACTGTGTAGCGAATTATCTCTCAGTTCACGTGTAAAAGAAAAGTCCAAAGGAGGGTAATTAGTCTTTTATTCAACTCAATGATTCACACATGACCCCTTGTCGGGTTTACAGCAAGCCTCCACTTGGGCTTTAACTTAAGATAGAAAATAAACTTAACTAACGCTAACTAAACTAAAACGAGCAGAAGCTGCACAGAAGTAACCAACACCGTTGCCCCTTATTGAATATCACCGGCGAATACAAAGAGGCACATAACAATACGGCCGAACGTAAGAAGATTAGGTTTAAAGGAACGACATGGCCAGAAGGCAGAATACGCTCTACTAATTGAAGTGACCGAAGTTTCCACTTAAATACTGCTTCTACCTCATTTACATAAAATACGATCCTGAAAACGAATTCTGGTAGGGAGTTGTAGGTGGAAAATGAGAAGTAAAGAACAGCTTATTCAAAAATAAAAATAATCATTAGAATATTAAAAGAAACCTTTACAGCGTAATCATCATGCGCTTCACTTCTAGAGATCTTAAATTCCTGTGGTAGCCAAAGCGAAGTTCTTAGGAAGTGAGATGGAAAACAGAACTCCCTTCTTCCTATCCTGTACTTCCTCATATCCTGTAGGAAGAAATGTTTCAAAGCATTGAAACTTCTGCGGAAAATTCATTGAACATTGAAAGTCCTAGCGGATCTTTGCCGATTGCTTAGCATCTATTGACCACATTTCGACCATGTTCAGGCTCTGCGGGTATGTTCCAAAACGTTTAGAATGTCTCCGATTCAGAGTGGATACACAGATTGTTAAGAGTCATAACTTTAGTTGAGGTCTAAGCAACCGTCTTCCTCATTATTGCAATATATTCTCGCATCCTGACCATCTACGTAAGCTGAGTTTGTTTGAAGTACGACCATCTTGTGTGCGTTCTTTCTCTGGAAGAGGTTCGGTTCTCGCGTTAAAGAACACGGCATGACCGATGTGTGTAAGCCAAGCAGTAAAGTAATTTGAAATTTTAATTCTTTCAATTTCAAGTGGGAAGCTAGCTTATTGAAGCTTTTCACCCTTGATCTTTACAAAATACGAACGAGATAGCTTACAGATACCAGACTTCTTGAACATTGATGAAACTACAGCATATCTATTCCTATATACACAGACAGATCGAAAGGAACTGATCACACTGGAGAATCTTGAGTGATTGGTAATCACATGGAGGGCATCCATTTCATATTTGCTCGGTACCGACCTCCGAATTATCTACTTTATATATTACGACCTTTTCTTCATTTCTAAACTATGCCGCACAAAATTCATAACTGACTTGTTTGCAGTCCTTCGAAACTGTAGAAATATTTTCAGACACCCAGACTACAGCAGGTGTAATAAATACAAATTTAAGGCAACAAGGTTAGGGAATGCCTTACTGTTGGGTTCCGAATATGAGAAAAGGAAATGAGCCGGTAGAAATTACAGGCAAGTCTGCCTGTGAACTGTTCAGTCAGCTTGTTCCTTTTGAAGATACAGCGCTATCGCCAAGAATACATCAATAAATGGCAGAGACTATGGCATTCATTTTCGCAAAAAGCTTAGAGGCGAAAATTCTAGAGTGAAGAACAGGAAAGCCAATAAAAGCCAGAGGGAGGAAGTTCTTTTGACTACCTAGAATTGGCCACTCATTTTGCATATAATTATCTGCTAAAGGCCGAGAGTGAGACCATTTTCTGAAAGTGCAACACCTCTCCATCAATGAGTCGCCTTTCAGTAGATTGCGTAAATTTTAAGAGTACGTGTAAAATATTTTAATAGCTTTGACTTACCTCTCGACTGTTTTATCGGAAAGATATCAATTTTAGTACATTTCAGTATCTGACAGAAACATTTAGATTGAATGGTTTTCAATAACTTTTTTATGTTGTATGAACTGAGATTTTATGCATAATTTATCACAAGAGTTTGATGTAGCTGTATTTAAATTGATGTAAACTGACCATATGTTTGGTGAATTGTAACATTTTAGGTTATACTCCAAGAATCCCATAAACCAACCTGTTCAGAACAGAATTTGTCCACTTAAGCACAGCCAAGCATCTGCATGCATCTTGCATAAGTATATTCAGAGTATCTACGTTAGCATATTTAAGACTCTGTACTGTATAAATTTATTAAATCATTCTTCAGAAATGGGCCCGCCTCAAGTACGATTCCGACTTCATGTGTTTTATTGAATTACATGTTCCTATCAACTTAAGTACAATTGGGCTTTACTCATTAGTTCTTATACTACATACAATGGTTTTTTAACTGATTCAAACAAAACATTAGGTATTTAGAGAGATACTAAAACATTCCGGCAGGCCCGGTGTTGACTCCCGGACTGGGCAAGGATAACAGCCTTGTATGGGTGGATAAAATGAGCAAGTTTGCTTAGGGACTAAACACGGGGAGGGGAGGTGTTCTGGGACAAGCTGACGACTTATTCAGGCAGCACCACTTGGCAGCCAGTTAGTTCTAGGGGGTGTTGATTCAGGCCATATGCTCATGCACCCTGGGGTCCACGGTCAGGAAAGCGGATATCAGCACTGCAGACCATGGGCCAGGAGGGCCGTTGCACCACCGAGTTTAGTTTAAATGTATTCTAGCATATGTATATTGCAATTGTGTTTAGCTTGCCGTAATTTGCATCATTATTAGACTTTAGTAAGTTATTTTACAGGAAGTCCTCGAATTAAAACGACTCGCTTTTGTTACCCCAGAAACATTAAAAATCTAAATTTGCCTCCAGCGCATACAAACAGATTGTGCACGTATAAATGCAGTGTGACATGAGATTCCTCCTATAATCACATTATGTGAAACTTTAAAAATAAGGCCAAAATACTTTACCAAAACTCAGAATTAACGAATTTTCTGGTTAAAGAAATTACTCCCGGTTGCAATGAATCATCCAAATGAATAATATTTACCAGATTGACATCATTAATACGTTGCGCTTTAATACATGTTAACTGTTTGAAAGGAAAAGCGCGTTAATTTCGTAAAATGTGCACTTCCTAATAGGAAAAAGATTATTATAAAATGTCACTTAAGTCCACATTCTTAACTACATTAAAAACAAATTTATACAATTATTATCTGTAGTATAAAGAAACCCAGATCTGCGTTAGTAACTTACTTACGATGACACTGTTGAAACGGCACTCGTAAATCGAGCATTACCTCCATTTGTGTGCTGTAACTTAGTCTTTGCCGAAACGTGGTCTTTGCGTATGTATATTTAGAGTATTTAAGTCATCGAATTTTGAAATCAACCGAGTTTTCCACCTCAAAGTAGTGGCAATACTATGTAATATAACAAACACTTGTGGCAGTAGTATGTAAAATAACAAATTAAAACTTCAATATTTTTGGATTTGGATTAATAATTGCCGTCTGGCTCTTGGCCAATCCTTAGCTGAGGTTCGTACATAGACAGCTTCAATCGATGACAGACTTACGTACGAATTGTACATAGACAGCATTAAATAAATACCTTGACACTAATTCAAGTGTTAGGGTCAGTAGTTGTTTGGCAGCATTGGTGATCATTGTTAGCGATATGGAGTAATGAACGCATGCATTCGATTTCTTGACATTAGGTTCCCTCAGCTACCTTAAGCAAGATGAGGGATTTGGACAAATGATGGATAGCGGTTAACCAAAAGATAAATCCAAACAAGCCTTTCTTTATAGCAGTTAAGAGTTTGAAATTGTTAAAGAGCTTGTAAAGTTCTATAATGCTTTGTTTTATAAACGAGATCTGATTTTCGTGCATAAACATTCGTTTACGTTGCTCAGAAAGTTAACTTGTATGGTGAATGCTTTTTCCAAGTTTATTTTCTTGAGGAGCAAGCTTTCGCATTTATAATATTGGGCATAAAATTAGATTTAGCATTCACAAAACAAAGATAATTGAAAATTCAGCATCAATAAAGTTGTTTATGAAAACTTAAAATATGGAGGCAATAAAACCACAGAACTGTTCAAACTCTTTTGAATAGGACAAATGAATCGCTACGTTACATGTAATTTCATTTCATAGCACAGTTCTCATGCGCAGTTCCGATACTTCTAAATAAAGAGACAGCCAACAGATAGACCGTAAATATGAAGAATTTCGTAAGTAAACGTGAAATTTCATTCAGACAGCCAGTAATAGAAACTAAAATGGATGAATTTTAGCATGTTTCACTAAATTAAGTAAAAACTGTTTTTAAGTTGAGCAGAGACTTTATATTTTCACAAAACATTTTTATCATAAGCCTCGTTTAGCATTTCAAACCAATCTATATTTAAGCTTTCAAGTTCAGGCAGAGGGAATTTAACAGTATGGCTTTAAATGGTTCTACTGTGGGAAATATTTAAACGCTCAAGGCAATGGCCTTTCTTTTGCACAAATAAAACTCAAATTAAAACAAGTTTATTAATATTAAACATGTTAACAGTAAAATAAGCGTAAAACGTTAAAAACGTTTATAACAGTCCAATGTTTTGCATGACAATAACAAACGCGTTTATGTACACAATCAGAATTAAATCCACTCATTAAAAATTCAGTTATTAACCAACTATTGGCACAGTTTGCAAGCTCATTAAAGAGACTCGATGTCAAGTTACAATTCATAAAGTTTCAAAATAATAGTTTCCGCTGCCACTCAGTGTGCAAAAGGATCAGTCATGGATGACAGTTTAAGCTCAGTTTGATGAAAACTCCGTCGATTAACTCATAACACCGGCGTCCATTCTGATGCATAATCCCTTCTTCGAAAATTGCACATTAAGAGCCTTTCCTTTTTTGGAAACTTCCAAACAGCTTTGTTTCAGGCTATCGTAAGATAAGTTCTTAACTCCAAATTTATTCCCATTCGCCAACGTAAAGAACTCCAGGAGATGCAGGACTAGCTGTCTTTATTCTGCCATATACTCTAGAATAGTCTTCATCCATGAAGCTGTCAGAGTCTGAAAAAGAAAAGACTAAATTAGGTTATTTTAACACCTCAGCACTTCAGGGCTGACGAAAGAGCATGATCCTAGGCTGAAGCTTTGCTTTAAAGGAACTTCAATTATTACACAAGGGGAACCCTTTAACAACCAACAACATTTTAGAAGCAGAGAACCGAATCAAAGACGATTACTAGCATTCTGCAATATTAACCAATATCACTATTAAAGGCAAAAAAATCCGTTGAAGATTAATCCTGTTCAGGAAAGATTTCGAATTATTTGAAGTGTTAAAGTATAAGCAGATTTCTTAAAATTTAATATTTGAATGCATAAGGAAGGCTGAATCAATTTATCCTTATAGCACTAGGAGTAAAAAAACACTTCACACAAATGAACAATTAAAGCAGAGTAAAATTAAAATAAACATATATACAAACAAAATAATAACAAATAAGAATAACAAAAATAATAACAAAATAGAAAAATTCAGATAAACTTATAAACAGATATATAATTTGCTGCAGGTGTAAGTAAACACTATAGTGACTAAATAATTCAGCATTACATCGAAGTGAATAGAAGGAAAAATAACAATCAGAATAACAAACATTGTAGGATTAACAATAAACAATAATGTTAGTCGTTTACATGTATAAGTTGCATAATTGACTTCATGGCATTAAGAGTAGAATTGCATTTTGCCAATATTTCCAGTGAAGGCAATGGTGATGGAAAAAGATGTTCTTTTGCTGTTATTGGACAAGACATGATGTAATGGAGAGCTCCTGCAAGCTCTCCACTTGTCCCACAGCCACATCTTGTGTTTTCATGAAATCTTCGCATATATTGCAAAAATTTACCATGATTTGTCAAAACTTGAAAATGTGATCTGATTGTATACGAGAGAAATTTGAGAAAAAGGCATAAGTCGAACGTCCAGTAGAGTCCTCATCCCATTTTGCTGCCATGTTTTAAGATTCTTGCAGGATTTGACGTTTGGCAGAAATCTCTGAAAGTGGCACTTCACCATCTATCTGATCTTGTTGTGTTGCTCTTTTTGCCTCGGAATATGCTCTTTCGTTCCCTGCAATTCCAATGTGAGCTTTAATCCAATTACGCTCTAGAGAATGGGAATCTAAGTTTTTAGATTTCCTTAAGGCTAAGAATGCTTTTCGTAATTTTATCACTATTTAAACTTTGAAGGGAACTACGACTATCTAAAAATACGAATAGGAATGTTGTCAGTTATTGTGGAACCTACCTAGACGAGTGCTTTTTTAAAGCAAGAATCTCTGCCTGAAAGACTGAGGCCGTATCATTTAATATTTAAATTTCTGAATGAACTTCGTGCCCATTGTTGTACATAACGAAAGTCGCACCTACATGTTTACCAAACTTAGATCCATCTGTAAAGATTTAGATATTTTCCTGTGTTAGAGTATTTTTGTGCTAGGGAATTAATTATGTCTTGATGAGCAGGGTGTATGTGGAAGTACGGGACTTCCAAGGTATTGTACCATATAACAATATTGCTTATTTCCAAGTTTTCCTTATAATGAATTAGTCTAAAGAATTTTCTTTCCATCTCAGCTTTTATGTTTAAAGGCATAAGGCCCGAGAGAACTTGCAGGGCTGATGTGAGAGATGTTGAATAACACTTGGTAATACATAAAAGAACTGACCTTTGTATTTGTGAAAGTTTTTGCTTTTGACGTACGGTTCCCGTGAACCACATGGGACACCCATAAAGTATTAATCGCTCGATAGCTCTGAGGTAAAGTATTTTAAGTAATTTTTCTTGCTCCAGTTTTGAGAAATGATCAGATTTAGTTTATGAATTAAATTGTGTTTTCTACTTTAAATGTACTAAGTGCGGAATCCATGCGAGTTTCTGATCAAGAATAAAACCAAAGTATTTTAATGTAAAACTTCTTGAGATGGTAAAGTAGTCCCGATTAATACGTGGAGGCGATCTATGTAATTTACTTCCTTTAGGAAACAAAATTTGGTTTTATCAATACTAAAATTAAGTTGATATTTGTTGCTCCAATGCTTAAGTTTTTCTAAAGCTTTATGAGCCGTTTCTTAAATTTGCAGTCTGTTGCTACCAGAAATGATGACTAAGAAATCAGCATATGCTTGAATTTTTACGCCTGTGTCAAATTCTAAATTTAAAGCTGTATCGGCCAAAATATTCCATAAAGTGGGCCCTAGGTTGGAACCTTGAGGTGACCCTTTCTGAAAAGAGAGATATTGACTCCATCTCTTATATTGTATTTTCCGGTTACTCACATAACTTCGAATTATGCGAAAGATTTCTTGGACATTTGACTTCATTTAACCTTGATAGCAATCCAGGCCACCAAAGATTGTTGAACACTGATGCAACGTCTAAAGAAATAACACAAGTATGAAGATTGTTTATTCTATTGTTATGAATTTCATTAACTAGGTTATTTACTGCATCAATTGTGCCAAGACCCGTTGTGAAACCATATTGTTGTCTATTGAGCATTTTCTTTGCAATCAAAAAATGAGTTAGTCGTCATGCAATAAGGTTATCTAATATATTCCCCCAAGCCGATAAAAGGCAAATGGGTCTGTAGGTATTGGGATTTGTAACATCTTTCCCTTCTTTTTGAAAAAGGACTAAATTATCAATCTTCCATTCTTCTGGAAAGTAACCAATTTCTAAACATCTGTTCATAATTCGAGTCATTAGATTTGGATTAGCAATAAAGACTTCCTCTACAGTATCTATGGAAAGTTCATCGCACCAGGGCGCTTTTCCTCTTTTTGTAGATTTGATGATATTTTTTTATTTCTTGGGTAGTTATTGGGAGATCATCTGCGTCTGGAGTTATCATAGAACGATTTATGATCTGTGTTCTTCCTTATCACCTTCAATGTTGTCCTGAGGGAAGTGAACACAAATGATGTAGCGTAGAGCATCTTCAACTGTTTCTCCAACTACCATCTGTCCTTTTAATTTTACAGAGTTTAAGTGCTTTATATCCTTTGCCATTAACTATATATCGTAGTAAGTATTAGAGATTTCAGTTTTAAACTCTACCAATAATTCTTTCAAGTCTAATTTGGCATTATATATATTTCTTTTATAAGCCACCGCTGCTTTATTGTAGATTTGACATTTATCTTTCCTCTTGATTCCTTACATTTTGATAATTTTTGCGCAATTTCTTTAGTTGTCTTTCCTGTGTGAGAGCATGGCTCCACCAAGTTTTTGTAGTTGTGTGTTTTATTAGATGGTAAACGCCTTAAATGTTGTTTAAAGAGCATCTTTAATTTTTCTGAAATTTCTTTAATTGTAAAATTAATTTCTGCATCAGAATTCTCATATTAAATTCCGAACAAGAAAGATCTGTTATTTCCTGCCTTAATGTAAGCCAATGAGAGTTTTCAATTCTCATTGAGTTTGAGAAAGCCTCATATCCATGCGAATTTCAAAATTCGCTTTATGATCACTTAACGCGTCTCTCGTATCAACTTCCCAATTTTCCATTTTAAAACTTTGTAGCCCTTTGAAGAGAGTTAAGTCAATTCATGAATTTCCCAGAGGACCTACAAATGTCGGAGGGGCTATTTTGTTAATCGATAACAGAGATTAGTTGTTACTAGAAAGTCTCCCATTCTTATTCCACGACGGTTTGTTGGTACTAGACCCCACATACTATGTTTAGAATTAAAGTCGCCGCAGATAACTATTAGAAGATCGCCTGCATCATTTATTATTCCTTCTAATGCAATTAATATTGGATCACTTTCTGTGCTTGGTGGACAGTAACTGGCTGCAAAACCCTGCCACGATGACTAATTCTGATAATAAGCTGTGGATCATATAATATCTATTTAAATCTGATGTCAAGACCTCCAAAAGTAGACAAACCAAATTAGTGGTATTGTTAAAAGAAATAAGTTCCCAATATTTTTAGGCATACTTTTCAATTTTTGAGGTACATGCCCAGGTTGGCACTGTTATACATTTGTTTACATTTAGGTACTTTATCGTTTCAGTATATTGGGATATTTAATCGCTTACTAAAATACAATTTCAGTTTGTTATGTTGGGGCAAAATTATTGTATCGCATCCGATGTTTAAATTTTGTTTAATGAAAAAGAAAGGATTAAATCCTCACTACATAGCAAATATAAGTTGTCTCAAACAGAATCACCATCTTTAAAACATTAATTACCTTTCATTCTCTTATTACCTTGCATTACTTGCTTGAGAACCTTAAGGTATAGTTTTAAAAATTTGGTTAGTGACAATTAAGGTTGTAATTGATAAATTTAAAAATACATTTAGCATCTTAGATTTTAAACTTTTTGTACACATGATTAATGATTTAAATAATTTTTATTGCAGAATAACAAACACTATTAATGATGCTTTGTATATTTAGAATTTAAATCCAAGAGATTAAGGTGTGGTGTATTTAATTATGGCAAAGCACACTAGGGCTATCTGCTTAAGGGGAAGGATGGACTTTCTAAGGAAAACTGGCTCGTATACACGTTACACCAAGAGATTAAGGAAAAAATTGTTGCACGAAGGTTATTTTTTCTGTTAACTTTTAATGCAGTTAGAGTTATACTCTAATTTTAAGAGACTTAACTTTTATAGAATTTGAAGCCGCTATCCATTTATAATTATACCATTTCTCAAACTTTACCATTGATTAAATGCAAGTCCATTCATTTGAAGCTAAAATGTTTACTAGCATAAATAAAAGCAGCTTTTTACATTTGAAACGGATATTGCTTCAACAAATTCTAAAAGGGAAAACTCGCCTAAGGTTAAGCTTTAAGTTCTCAAAAGCTCAGTGTGCATCAAGATAATTTTGCAGCGAGAAGGAGATTAACCTTATTCAAATAAGAGTTTCTTAAAGATTTGAGCCAGATACCAAGCACAGAGCATTTTTCTAAATTCAGCAAAATAATTCGATTTTAAGACCTAGATTCGGAATTCATTAAACTTCAGAGGACGATCGAA